AGGGACGAATCCGAGCGAGGCGACTGTGTGTCACATGTTTTTCATAAAAATAAAATGCTGTTAATTGGTAAGCGCATCGTCTGGGAACGGATGGATTTAGTAATAAGGTTTCTAAGGAAAACAATTAAAAATACCTAGAAAATTAGGTAATTCCGGTAAAGCTGAAACTGTTTTTTTCTATAGGAGTTTTGTATATACTTAAAGATTATACACAAAATTATTGGGACTAGACCCTATACGTACCAACATTTCCATCCATGTTTCCATTTTCCAAAAAGTATTTAACATAAAACTCAATAATTTGAGTTTTATGTTAATTAATAATAATCATAATGATAATTTATAGTTTATTCTATTTATATAATATATAAAAATATTATATTACCTACTTTTGTACTTTGATCCGTCTTTGATCTTTTAATCAATTTTCATGTGATGAGTTTTCCTACAACAATATTATCGTGATATATATTGTATATGTGATAAGGACGAAGATAATTTCACATGGTTTATTAAGTGTTATATCTTTGTTGAAGATAATCGCTTGATAATAATGAAGGCTTGGCGCTAAATATGGTTGATTATTTTACTACATGCATAATAATAATGCAATTTTGTTTTCATTTCCGTTGACGTTTCACAACTCTATTTTATTTTATTTTAACTTTCAAGCACAATTCGAACTTATGACCTCGTGGAATTTTCTATTTCTGTTATAAATATTTAGTATTATTAATGTTATGTATATTGTGTTAGATTTTCAATTATTAAAATTATGTAAGGCTTTTGGACTTGTATAGTTAAACAAATTTTACAACTTTTCAACACTTGAAATATTGTAGTTTATTCACTATGATTCAGGTACTAGGTACCACGCTAGTAATATGGTTATCATGTTGAAAATGAACCCGGCTGCTGCCAATGCTTCTAATAGAATAATAAATATATACACACACATATATATATATATATATATATATATATATATATATATATACCTGCTGTTATATGTGTAATTTTTGTATGTATGTATAAATTTAAAATGTAAATACGTATATTTTAAAATGTTAATATTTGTTTTTATATATTTTAAGGAAATTACAAATAATGAATAAGTCAAAATAATAAAATAATACTATTGATAATATAATATTTCTTTGTGTAAAGTTATTAATATTATTGACGTAGGTTTACATATCATTATTTTTTGAGAAAAGAGGTTTTTTAATTAGTTAATAATAACAATTTTATATTCAGTACATGTGCTTGTATATACGAGTCATAAAGAATTTTAACTTATTATTAAATACACACCGTCCGTCTTCCCTTGTGTCCGTTCGTCTTACATTTACTCGTAACTTTGGAACTTTATAATATAGCGGCGAATTTCCTAGTAACATAAAAGTTAAAGTAGAGTTCTTTTTTGTTTTAGCCCTATCGTAAAGGTATATATATATACATATAATATATGTATATACTATATATGATAAACGCTAGCCAAGTGTATTCGTGGGTTTAAGCCGCTATACAACATTCTAGGATCTATTTTATTGGACCTAGGATGTGCGTACGCAATATAACGCGTAAATATATGTAAAATCAAAGAATAAAAGTGTAGTACCACATCACGGAACCCTAAATGTAGAAATATGATACACACTTTATCAATTTTATTTGTTAATCTGATTTAGGCCGTGTGGTTTTATATAAAACATTGAAAGTGAGATTATTTGTGATATGATTATTTAAATACTAGCGACTCACCCTCGCTTCGCTCGCGTTCGTCTCTACTTTGCTTCCCAATACAAACTTTCATCCCCATTTTCACCCCCTTAAGAGTTGATTTCCGGGATAAAAAGTATCCTATGTCCTTCTCAGGATCTCAAAGTATCTTCTTACCAAATTTCATCTAAATCGGCTGAGTAGATCCAGAGATTACCACCTACAACGTCACAAACTCACAAACTTTACCTCTTTATAATATTAGTATTAGTATAGTTACAGTCATGCAAGATAATCAACACACTGGCTATAAAATAACTGGCTAAAATTTGCGATACTTCAATATACCTTAATAAAAACTGTAATATAGGTACAATGTATTTTGATTATTGCCTTAAAAAAATTGTAAATAATTAGTCTTTCTTAGTCTTTAGTTACGTTTTTTTAATTTATGCTTGTGGACCTGTCTGAAGAATCAAAAAAGCACTGGTAATAGTTTAACATAAGTTATATTATAGTCCTCGTAGAAGATTAAAATATATGATTTCAGCATTACATTCTAGGAATCTAGGCGCTCTCATATAGAGATTGGTTTTAATTGTTATGTACTCAATAGTAATACACGCACAAGTGAAGCCGAAGACAGTAACTAATAATATAACTCTAAATATTATTCATCTATACAGATAAATAAAATTGAAGTGTTTGTTTGTAATGTCAAAATAACAACGTTATACTAAATGCATATGAAATTATATACGGTACTTATAAGAAAAACTCATTTTTTTCTGTCTGTCTGTTTGTTCCGGAAAATCTCTGAAACGGCTGGACTGATTTTGACGGGACTTTCACTGGAAGATAGCTGATGTTATAGGGAGTAACATAGGCTACTTTTATTTTAGAAAAAAATTAGGGTTCCGCTCAAAACAATTAAACCTATCTAGGGACGAAGGGTGAGTCGCTAGTTATGTATATAATCTTATTATAATTGCTAAATTAAGTTAGATTGAGCGTTTATACTCCAGGACAAAGTTCAATGAAATTTACAATGATAAGATTGCCATGTAGGTAGGTTTGTAGGTACATATCTTATCATTACCAAGTGCTATTCGACATCCGTATTTTTAAAAAAAACATGATGCCGCTTATGTCTCTATTTTTTACATGTTCAATTCAATTCAATTTTCTTGTTAATGGCTTTAAAGTATGCCAGTTAAGCACAGATTACTTCGCTAATGCCACGTAGAATGGAGATGATCTTAACATGATAATAATATTTAATTATAGAAACTATGAACAGTATGTATGTACTCGCAATGTATGTATGATTTACAATTATTATTATTATTATAAGCCTGTAGTGTCCCACTGCAGGGCAAAGGCCTCCCTACTCTTCCTGCACTGCTCCCTGTCGTTCGCCATAATAAGCCACTCTCTTTGAAAGGAGTCTAACTATCCCGCCATCTCCGTCTCGGCCTACCACGCTGTCGTCTGCTGTGTTGGGGGATCCAAAAAGTTGTTTGTTTGGACCAAAGGTCATCTGACATCCGGATGACGTGACCAGCCCAGTCCCATTTCATGTTTTAGAATATGTACAGTAAATAATAATTGCTATATGCAGTGGATTTATATTTTTCAAATTGTAACTCTATGATGTAGGAACTTCGAATTTGGACTTAAAATATGCTAAAAGTTTGATACCTATTTTTAAATTATCTCAAAACAGAGTTACAATGTTTTCGATTGCACGTGTCGATTTGCTTTATCATCATCATTAAGGTAATCGTTCATCAAAGTAATCGTTCATCAAAGTATGATAATTGAAAAAAATACTACTAAATTTTTTACAGTGCTAAGTTTAAAATAAGATGAAATGGATTACATTTTATCTTAACCGACTCCCAAAAAGGAGGAAGTTCTCAATGCGTCGGAATCTATTATATTTTTTATGTATGTTAACTCGAAGACGCCTGAACCGATAGGTAGTCCCATTTAAATTTTATCTAAATCGGTTGAGCGGTGTTTAAAAAATCAACAATAAATTATTTTTTTAAATAAATTGCTTAATTGAATATGTTATTAAAAAACGTTCTTCGTACAAATTACCTGCTTTTTATGTCTACACTAAAAATGAAAAAATAAAAGCTTATTATATTTTTTAAAGTTTTTATTAGATTTTTAAATAATCTTTGCGGATTTTTGCGCGGATTTATTTTAATTTTTCGATCCCGACGTTTCGAATGCAGTCATGGTCACGGGAAAGACAAAATATTAAAAAGAAATAAAATATTTTATGCCATCGTATGCAATTTGCGAATGAGGTGGAATATAAAACTTAATGTTGGTTACCTGAGATTAGATATTTACGTGGGATATAATAGTGCAAGGGAAAAGGTAGTACGTACAGTTGTGCACAGGTCAGTGGTCACTGAAATTAAGTTAAAGTCTAGGATATATAATTTTTAGGGGTCACTAGAAACGGCGTTGCTGTTTATTATTTTTTATTAACGATAGAAATACCATCTGACCAATGAGGCAGTTACAGTACTTAACATTGCATTGAAGGTAACGTAGTTCTTGGTTTCTCTCTTTTTGCATGCTTTGAGTAATCTTGATAATTAGCCTAACCTTTTATTTCACCTTTACATTCAAACCAGGAACATTTGAACAATATGGATCGAAAAAATAAATGGCGATTGTATGTAAAGAACGGCATCCTCTACTCCATATAGATTGATTATTTTTACCACGTTTTCTAGTGAATATCTACAAATAAACTTCGTATTCTCGTCCTCATTCATGGCTTCAGGATTATCATGTTACTTAACAAAAAATGATAAAATATTCATAGCGTTAGAAATTTTTGTATGGTATTTATTTTGCACTATTACCTACTGGCTCGTTGGTTTTACGACTAGCATCTAGGCCACAGATCCGAAGTTTATGGGTTCAAGTCCCGGGTCGGCCCAAGCTATATTTATTGGATTTTCGTCAAAAAAATCTCCTTCTGAGAAATAATAGTTGGGAAATTGGCGATGCTTCACTCCCATGCATCGAAGAGCACGTTATCCCGTCAGTCCTGTGCCGTGTTGAATTGTTGTCCCATCAAACTTTGCAAGTACAAGACTTATTACACTTGTGTTTGCGCACACACTTGTATTACATTTACGCACACATTAATATCTCCTGCGCACATGGCTATTTTCAGTGTGATTGGTTGATTGGCCGAAATCGTTCTGGAGGATATTTATTCATATAGCTTAATATTATTGTTATAGGAATGTGCAGAAACAAAGAAAAGTTACACGTATACACAAATCAGGAAACATACGTCGGTATTCGCAACGTCACTGCTGAAGAAATTGGGCTTAAAAGAAAATGATGTCGTTTGCTCTCTCCTACCGAACAGTCCGGAATTCACCGTCATCGCTTTTGGAACTATTCAGGCTGGATGTATTTTTAGCCCTATTAATCCTATTTATAAAGAAAGTAAGTTTTTTTATTATTTTTTTGATTATTTAAAGAAAATTTAGCTTGGACTGATAATTAATAAATAATATGTTGGGACATTAACACACAGCACCATCTAGTTCCATAGTAAGCTACGTGGCTTGTGTTATGGATACCAGATAGTTGATACACTACATATATATATATATAACTTTAAATACATATATATTATAAATATAAACACCCATGACCGGGGTACGAATATTTGTGCTCATCACACAAATGAATCAGCGGGACTCGAACCCGCGACCGCTGGCAGACTACAAACTGAGCCAAATATGCCGTCATAATAATTCAGTTAGTTTTTATCGATTAAAATTAAAAAATAAGATGTACCTACCGGTGTTCATTGTAAAACTATAGATACTCGTATAGTTACCACAGATCTTTAGCAAAGTTGATAAATACTCTTCCGTAATAAAATTTTACGACGATACTGTGCCAAAATTCTTTAGCATTTACAAAAAAATATTGTAAAATAGAACTTTATTATGATTTTAAATTTAAATTTCAGTTGAGATCAGCCATCAAGTAACCACCACTAACCCAAAAGTAATTGTAACAATACCTGAATGCTATGAACATCTTATAAAAGGGCTTAAATTAGCTAAAAGTGAAGCAAAGGTAGTTATCGTGGATGATCCAAGCAAACCGATACCTGAAGGAACAATACGGTATACAGATATCGCAGAAAAAGGAGATGTTGATTTTAATTTATTAGATAAAATTGTTAAAAATAATGAAGACACTGCCCTAATTCCATTCTCAAGTGGTACCACAGGTCTGCCTAAAGGCGTAGAAATTACTTATAAGAATTTGTTTGCTGCCATAGATATTATGGGCAGAGCTGAGAATAGATTTCCGATGTTAACGAATGGTAATTAACTAACTGTTTTTTTAGTTTTATTTTTTGAAATGAAACTTCTTGGGCGTATGAGAGAAAAATTTCAAGATCGCGTCATGAGAAATCGTCACGGAAAACCGTTACGGTTGCCATAGTAACCATTGTTATTGTCTGATAAATGATATACATTTAATATTATTTCCGGTGCTATCTTCAAAGATAACTTTTTAGTAATTTGTTTTCAAATATGCAAAATATTTATGACTAGCGGCTCACTCTCGCTTCGCTCGGGTTCGTCCCTTAGAGTATATGCGATAGATGTAAGAATCCAGCTAGATAGAAAGAACTAAAACACGTTTCCATAGAACTTTGTTTTTTTTTTTTTTTTTAATAATAACCGCCAACGTTGACTAAATGCTATTTTAATAACATAATCTTAATATTATGTGGAATTAATAATTCGTAGTTGCTTAGTTTTACAATTTTTAACGATGTAGGGCGAAATCCCTAATTTGATTTAAATGTCACAGGTATTGTAATTGAATGAATAAATGAATTAATTTAAATTTATATCTTTTTAATATATTTTTTCTAAACATTTATTTCTTTTTAAGGTGATTTACAAGATGTAATACCGTGTATACTACCGTTCTTCCACATCTATGGGATCATAATAACGCTAATCGGTCATTTCGTTAACGGGTGCAAGCTGATTTCAATGCCTAGATTTTCAACTGCGACATTTTTCGATGTTCTGAAAAATCAAAATCCGTCTATTTTATACGTTGTACCTCCTATTGGTAAGGCTTTTTCTTTTTACACCATTTATATTTAATTAATGTGAAAGGATGACATTAAAATGAAAAAGATTGCTCGTTGTAATTTGTAAAATTCTTAAAATAACAAAAAAAAAATTTACATAATGAAATGTTTAATTTAACTAATTATATACAAACTTCTTAATAAAGTAAAATTCCATTCCATAAAAATGAATTTTTTTCAACCTTTTGAGGATAGAATCATTAAAAATCTTACCTTATTTACCTTTGTTTGTTATTTACTTTTGTCCATCAATAAAACAGTAAATGCTTTTTATTGAATATATCGTAGATAATCATTGTATATTTTGCAGCCATACTTCTCGCAAAACACCCCGATGTGACGAAAGATTACTTTAAAAACGTACGGAATATTATATGTGGCGCCGCCCCACTGTCCGCTTCTGATGCTTTAGCCTTACTGGAAAAAGGAAATGTAAGTGTGTTTTAATGTTTTAAATAAAACTTATTACAAAGGGAGTAAAAATGTAAATGTTATGTTATTTATCACACTTATTTTAATTAATTCCGCGGTTCTTGTCCGCCTTTATTGATGTTTTGCCGATCAATTTCGGCCACAGCGACCAGTCTCTTTGAGACTAGCCTACTGTGCAGAAGATATTAATTATTATAGTGCACAAATGTACATGTCACAGTGCACTTTCTATTAGTTTAATTTTGAAATTCCGGTAAGAGATCAGGCGCAGGATCTACGGCTTTACGTACTCTCCGAGGCACGGTGGTATCAAACTTTCCAACTCCGGGCTTTCTTAACAGAAAGACTCAATAAATAAACTTAGCCCGACCCCGAATTCGTATCCAGGACCTTTGGATTAACGAACATTTACATTTTACAATCTCGTTATATAGATGGTGATTTCGATTTGCACATATTTAAATCTGAATACTCAGGAAAATAAATGCCAAAAACACTCTGACATGTCTTATGCCGTATCGAAAATAAGCTAATTAAACTTAAAACTCTTTGTTCATACTAATTTTCGTATACTAAATAATTTTCAGGGTAAAGTAGAGTTTAATCAAGGCTTCGGAGCAACAGAAACTACGTCACTAGCAACAACTACGTTTAAGGGAACGAAAAATATAGATTATTCAGCTTGTGGGGAGCCGATGGCGGGTACAGAACTAATGTTCATAGATACCAACGGCAATCCAGTTAAAATTGGCGAGGCAAGTTTTGTTTAGTATTTTACTGTTCTATTATTTCCTATTAGTCATCATAGTTTATCTGTTTACTTAATTTGATCCAAATGCCTTTTTAGTCATAATAATAGTCCGATTATGATTTGTTTGTATGTTTGTCACTTAATCACACGAAAACCGCTAAACAGGTATAGATGAAATGTTATGAATAAATAGAGCAAAACAATACAACAGTAATTGATTTACAATAAAATAATTATAAAGCATGAATAATCATCTTCACCTTGCTCTTCAGATATTAAGTACCTATTGTTATTGTTTCATAAATTTTATTATAATACAAAAACTGAAATTACCTTCATCATTATTGCTATAATAATTTACACTAAGATGTAGATACAAATAAAGTTTAAATTTTATTACTGCACATCGGGGGGCACGGAGTGCCCCCGCCAAGTCGAGCAAAAAAGGGCACGACAGTACCATCCTTTTCTCGAAGCGATTCAGAGCATTTTCCACCCCCCAATAATAATACTATTACTGGCAGTATTAGCCTATTAGACAGTGGTAGCCCAGTGGTAACGCGCTCGCTTGGGAAACCTAGTGAAGCGGGTTCAAATCCCGGGTCTCCCGCCTCTAATATTTTCGTGTGCGAATCATTTCTAACATGATTACCACTTGACTTACGGTCAAGGAAAATATTGTGAGGAAATGCATGTCTGAGAGAACCTAGCAAGTTCTCGAAAGACATGCTCAGTCCGCCCGCACTTGACCAGCGTGGTGGTTTATGGTCTGATCGCCCTCGTATTGAAGGGAGGCTCGGCCTCAACAGTGGGACGTTAAAAAGGGCAGCATACATAGTACATATATAGATGTTACTACTGATTAATGTTAGCAACCATCATATAATATATATATTAGTGACCCCCACAACATTTTATCTATAGTTACAATAATTTAGAGAAATGGCGAACAGCGAGAATTTTTTTATCGAGTTAATCAAATTGCAAAAATATATTTTTAACTAATCAATGAATCAGTTAAAATATCTATATTTTATTCAAATAGACTTTTACAAGCAGTTATGAATCGTTAGTTTTAAAATTTACATTAATTGTCAGTATGTTATGTCCGTGAGGAAGCTACCATCGGCTCGGAAAGCAGTTCTGCTGAGAAAAGCCAGTGAGAAACTTAAGCAATTGCTCTTTTAAAATAAAATTTGTTATAAAATATTATTTTTCAGAGTTTTCTTCAATAAAAATACAAATCTTTCTAGTTATCTTCGTCAAATTTAATTTGTATAATTTTTTTTTAGTCTGGAGAGCTCTGCATTAGATCACATACAATTATGAAGGGCTATTACAAAAACGAGAAAGCGACAAAGGAAACTATGACGGATGACGGCTTCTTCAAAACTGGGGACTGTGGGCATTACGATCCTAAATACGGTCTATTCGTTACTGATAGAATAAAGGAACTTATTAAGGTATTTAATTTTATAATTATTTTATAAATACATATTATATTCATGACTTTTCTTCATTTTTTTATTATCGCTCGGGTTCGTCCCTAGCTACTTTTTAATTTTTTTGAACGAATCCCTATTTTTTTTTAAATAAAAGTACCCCAAGTTACTCCTTATAACATTAGCTATCTGCCAGTGAAAGTCCCGTCAAAATCAATCCCGCCGTTTCGGAGATTAGCCGGTACAAACAGACAGACAGACAAAATTTTTAAAAATTGTGTTTTTTTATAAGAACCTTATATAATTTCATATGCATTATGTGAAAAGCTCTTATTTCGACAATACAAACTTCAATTTTATTCATCTGTATAGATGTATAGACTAGCTTTTCCACTCATGAGTTTATTTATTGTATCACGCAGTTTATGTAATGTATATTGGTTACATAACTCGTCATTACATAACTTGCTACATAATTAAGAATATATAATTATAATAATATAATACCTATACATTTTGTTTAGGTAAAGGGAATGCAAGTAGCGCCGGCAGAATTAGAAAGCATACTCCGATCTCACCCCGCCGTACAAGATGCGGCGGTTATAGGCGTCCCTCACATCTTCAATGGAGAAGCTCCAAAAGCATTTATAATTAAGAAAAACGGCCAAAACGCCTCGTCAGAAGATATACAAAGTTTTGTGGCAGAGAAAGTGGCCTCTTTCAAGAAGATAGAAGAAGTCGTATTTGTAAATGACATCCCGAAAACGACTTCAGGGAAGATATTACGAAAAGAATTAAGGAAAATGTACGCGTAGCATTGATCTATAGTAATATTATAAAGAGGAATGATTTTTTTGTTTTGTTGTTTGTTTGTACCGAATGAGCTTAAGATCTTGGGAAGGACATGGGATAGTTTTATACCGGAAATCATCCCTAAAGGCGGTGAAAATGGGGATGTAAGTTTGTATGGGGAAATAACCTAGGACGAACCCGAGCGAAGTGAGGGTGAGTTGCTATTTTATTTACACAATGAAATTGTAACAGGGACTAAGTTGCATAAAAAATATATTTTTTAAGATATTTGGTGAATAAATCAATAATTTTTCAGTTTTTTGTTTGTGCGTCTACTTAACTTTACACTACTCGCGAATAACTAACAATAATTAGCAAGAAATTCCAACGGTTATTTGATGCTATGCAGATAATGAATCTAAAAGATTATATGCCAGAAATATGCAAGTTTATTGCCATTCGTCGAGCAGAACAAAATATTCCTCATCTCGTTTATGTGCACTTTTATATAAAAAATAGTAACACTTGTAGGTTTTGGACTAAATAGAAATACACTAATTATTTTCTGTGGTGTATTCGGTGGTAGTGATGTCACGCGTTTATTTTATTTTTTCATTGTCAATTTAAAAAAAAAAACAAATATTAATATATAAATGATTATATTACCCAAATAACCATTTTAACCCTATTAGAGAGTTTCAAAGAAACCCTTCTTATTAAAGGAATATTTCTTGCAACTTTTAAAAATCAAGGTATACCAGTTAAGCTGAGCTAAGATATTATACCATCTGTAAGGCAGGCATCAGTCACAGCAAATACTGTATTATGATGCAGACTATACGAGGCGAACCGCAGGCAGTGGTTGGTTAGTTTTAAATGACTGTTTAATTTAAACGTGTATAAAAAGGTGATTGTAATACTTTCTTCCGAATATTTGACATTTTAAATAAAACTATATTTTCGGATTATTATATATATTATTATATATATATCTTTCTCCCGTGACCATGAAAAGATGGTTTTATTTAAAAGGTGATTGATTTTAGGTTATTTTATAAATATGTAAATGTTAGTTATTAAAAATTTTTTAATAATTTATAAAGAAATATATTATGTACATATTATTATTAAAATTAAACTTACATACCTGTTTATATTTTTATTTCTTAATTCTAAATCCTACGTAGTAGTACTAGTAAAACCCAAAGGAGGGTAAATGATTTTGGTGCGTGCGTGCAATTTGTTTCTGTACATGAATGTGTTCGAGTTGTGTATGTGTGTACGTGTCAAAAAAATATTTTACACCTAGCATCTTACCCTCGTTTCACTTGGGTATCCCCCCTGGTTTTACTTATATATACTCGTAGATAAGCGCACACATACCTACATACATATTTATTACATTTTTTTCTTCCGTTTCGATGATTCTTCGAGTTCACGAGTTTTCATCTTCTCGACCTCGTGTGCCAACGATTTCGTAACCATCAGGTTTTCTTCCTTAACGTCGTCGTCTTCTTCTTTTTCAGAACACGCAAAAATCTCTGCGCTGTTTTCACATGCAGATAACAGAATATTTCAAGCCTGTTTTTTCTATAGCCACAGGATCGATGAAACCCTTTCTTGTACTTTCACGAAATGAATTTAAGAAATGCTTAAAGTGTTGGGTTTTTTGTCCTTTTTACTGGAAGAGCCAAAAAACGAATTAGCCCAATAAATAAATGATCTGTTATCTGCACATGCTAAACTATTTATTTGATCCAAAATGTTTCCTACAAAAGTTACAGCAAATTTTATGCTCCTAATTTTTATAATGTCCATTTATAAGCTAGAAGACGCTGAGAGAAGATATTCTCAAAAACTGATTTTTGGTACCATTTTTCCAATATGGTGGCGTGAGCGGCAGTCGTACAAGGTCGGGTACTATACTATAACACTCTGCCAAATTAGAACTCTCCTTGACTTTTTGTAATTCAGAACCTACCCAGTGACTGTATTACAATCTTTACCGCTAAAAGCGATACGGCGACATAGAAGTTTCACGTTAAACCAACGGCTGTGTGGCACGACACAGCCTCACTTGATTTTTTTAATTAATCTGTGTGCCATATATTTTTTATAATTTGTTTTTGGGTATTTAATAGATATAAATAAAGATCAAAAACTTATTAAACATTTCAAATTACATTATTTTTTTATTGATATGAATTTTGTATATGTTCCGTCTCCGTTTCAATCTTTAAAATGTTTTGCCTTTAATTTATTTTTCTTAAAGTATTTCATTTTATAACTATTAAAAGATAGATTACTTGCAAAATTATATTAATTGATAGCATTGCCCGCGGCTCCGTCCGCGTTCATATGACCAAAACCAAATAAAAAAAAATACTCGTATTAGTATATTAGTTGACCCGAATAACCAGCTATTACTATACCAAATTTCTTCAAAATCCCTCCAGTGATTTTTCTGTGATGCGGTCACAGACAGATTTATAATAATAATAATAATACAGATTTCAGTCAGAAGGTAGAGAGTAGAAAATATATATAAATAGAGTGGAATTTGAATTTAATTTAAAATAGTCGTAAACGTTAATTTACAATGATAAGAAACGCAAATATACACGAGTAGGACAAATTACATAATTATAATATCACTAAACTTTGATAAGAAATCTTGCCTACCAAAAAGGCAATTAAATGCGGGACAGTTTCAAATTAAATTGTGCTCTGAAAGTTTTTATTAATCTGACCACTATTTTATAGGCGAAAGTTTATATGTCTATATGCAGCCATGGATTTACACTAGGGGCACTCGGGGCTAGTGCCCAGGGCGGCAAATTTTTAGGGGCGGCAATTATATTCAGAGGGTGGGAAAAAATTTTCTTCGCGTCATCGAAAATGTTTTTTCTAATTTTACAAAAAAATGAAAAATAAAAAAAGATTAACTAGTAGATTCATTTATCGAAAAATTGATATCATTTACAAATTATTTCTTTGCATTTTTCAAAAAAAGTAATAAAAAAAATTTCGATATTTTATTCAAAATTGCGATAATAGGGTGGCATTTTTTACTATGCCCAGGGGCGGCATTAAGGTTAAATCCGGCCCTGTGTATATGTATGTATGTTTTTACTAAAACAAAGACTTTGGATAAAATGTTGTGGGGGACACTATAATGGTCGCTAACATTAACCAGTAGTAACGTCTATATATGTACTATGTAATCAGCCCATTTTAACGTCCCACTACTGGGCACGGGCCTCCCTTCATACGAGGGGGATCAGACCATAGTCCACCACGATGGCCAAGTGCGGGTTGGCGGACTTCACATATCTTTTGAAAACTTGCTAGGTTCTCTCAGATATGCAGGTTTCCTCACGATATTTTCCTTCACAGTTATGGCAAGTGGCAATCATGTTGGAAATGATACGCACATGAAAATAACAGAGGTGCGAGACCCGGGATTTGTAACCGCTTCACTCAGTTTTCCAAATGAGCGCGTTCCCGCTGGGCTACCTGAATTATGTTGCCTATAGTGCCTCAACATGTACTATATTTGTTCAAAAATGTTTTGTATGAATTGATAAATTGTATGAACTGATGAATTAGATTAACAAACTTCCATGTTATTTCATTTTCCTTATACTATTTTATCATGAAACTTGCAAGACTTAGTTACAGCTAACTATATGATATTGTATCAAAGTACCTATGTATGTAAACAGCTTTTATTCATGTAAAATACATGGTGTTATGCTATTATAGATCTTTTGTCTTTCGCTTTAAGTATTACCGTTAGAGAATGTTCATCCATGTGTTTATAATAAGAACACTTCATTCCGGCCGTCCGGACTCCGAGTTCGGCCGCCGGCGTTTAGTCATCAGTGTAGTGTGGAACTCGCATAGAGCCGCTCGTCTAAAATCAGTCGTTGTGATTTATCATTGTTTGTGTTTATTACAGACTGTTTACATTGTTTTTTTGTTGTAATTTGTTATAAAATTTCAGTCTTCTTAGCAAAACACTGTTTAAACGTATGGTAAGTCGATATATATGTATATTTTAGTTCTTAATATTGAACATGACGTGCATATTGTAATATTCGACTATCGAGTTTTGTTTTTTATGATATTATTATATATTGTGTATGATATAAGACAACTACTTACAAGTAATATTTGTGTAATAGCTTAATAATAATTATTAATTATCTCTAGAATTATATATTATCTATATAGCTATTTACTGTTTTTGTGTACAGATTATTATTCTTTTGTTAAGTTTGCGAAGTGTATGCTGCATGCTGATAATAGTTATTATTATCGGTGTACTCTTGTACTACCACAGATCATATAATACTATACTAGTACTAACCAACAGTCACGTAGGAGCTAATGAGCAATTTTTTGTAATTCCCCGTTAAATTTGTTTTGAATATATTAGGGTAAACACAGACAAACAGACAACATTTTTAGCAACTATTCTTTTGGGAGTCTACATGTTGTTCAATACTAGAGATGTGCCGAATGTTCGGCCGAATATTTGTATTCGGTATCTTCGGTGCTTTTTTTGTGTTTGTATTCGGCCGAATATTTGGTTAAAATGCCGAATAATTACCAAATAGTTTAATAATATTATGTTAAGATTTATAATAATTTCAAAAATAAAAAAAGGCTTCACACTAAGAAATAAATAGTACATGAATACTATGAAACACGCACTAACTTGCGTAACCATTATTTATTGACCAATTGAAAAACACAAAATTCAGTTTTTAACAATATACTTAAATCAATATTTTGTTTTCCAACAAAGAAAAGTTAGTTTTTGTACATTTACTGCACCGCTGTTATCAGAAATACCGAAATGTGTAAACACATTTACTACATAAAAATGAACCGAAAGCCGAATATTCGGTTCGATACATTTTGGACCGAATATTCGGCTGAATATTCGTATTCAGTTGAACCAATATTCGGCGCATCCCTATTCAATACGATATATAATAAATAATAATAAATA